TATTAACAAATTCCGTAACTCTATTAACAACTTCGGTATAGCATTTAATAACAAGTTTTCTTAAAAATTCAAAAAAAATGACATTTTTATAACTTTAACAACTACTTCTTTTTTTGAAAATTTTTACAACTTCAGTACAATGGTTAATAACTTTTGTAATGCTATTAACAATAGGTTTTTTGGGAAATTCAAAATGTAGCATTTTTACAACTTCAATAATGCCGTAACAAACTCAAAAACCTGTTGTTAACCGCTATACTGAAGTTGTTAATAGCGTTACAAAAGTTGTTAACCATTATCTGAAGTTGTAAAAATTTTCCAAAAAATTGTTTCCGGTTGTCAGAGCTCTAGCGATCAATTGTGGAATTTTTTGAAAAACTTGTTGTTAACTGCTATATTGGAGTTGTTAATAGCGTTACAAAAGTTGTTAACTGTTATACTGAAGTTGTAAAAATTTTCAAAAAAAATTGTTTCCAACTGTTGGAGCTTGTTGAATTTTCCAGAAAACCTGTTGTTAATTGCTATATTAAAGTTGTTAATAGCGTTACAAAAGTTGTTAATCATTATCATGAAATTGTAAAAATTTTCAAAAAAAAAATTGTTTCCGATCGGCGGAGCTCAGGTGACCAATTGTCGGCCGGTCATCGGAGCTCCAGTAACTGCTGCTGCCGAGCTTTGGCAACCGGCTGGCAGTGGGGTTTTGGTATTTTAAAAACAATAAATAAAATAAAGGGCAATGTGGTTATTTCAGCAAATTTATAAATGCCAAATTAGTTTCTTGAGACTAAATTGGGATTTCTTAAATTCAGCAAACCTTTATAGTATTATGAAGTTTATTTGTCATTTTTCTGTCTTTTGCCAAGGGTTTTCTAGACTTTCAGAAATATGGTGAATCCTTAATATTGGAAGTACAGAGCAAAAATAGTATCAAGGTTTTTTATGCAATAAATGAATAAGAGCTTTCACTACTACTACTACTCCTACAAAAAAAAAGAGCATTTTATGACAGTTAAAATGAGTTTTTCATGATTGTTTTGAGAACGACATATATGCCATAAACATAAAAAAGCAACGAATTTCATAGCAATTATATGAATAATCGCCATGGACAGTTTATTTTTTTACCTTCCCTCTCATCTTATTGATCAGGATGAAACAAGGGAACAAAGTCCTAAGGGAAGGGGTTGAGAATCAATAGACCAATAACTTGCCACTAGCTAAAAGCATTCCGATTGAGCAAAAGTAAACCCTTTCCCTACCATAATAGCATCACCTAACTCCGCCTTTAATCCCCAAATTGAAACCATCAAGATTTGATGAAGGTAAAATCAAAGACTCATATCTGATAAAATTCATGAGTTTCAGGTTGTCAAACTCATATCTGCAAAATGAGGGAAACAAAAATCAGATTTATTCAAGTTTTCAAGTATCAAAATATGTTTAAACAAGAAAAGAAACAAAACTCAAATCTATTCAGACTATAAAATCTACGGAAAGAATAGAGGAGAAAAAAGTTATATTTTTAATCAAAGAAAACAATCAAACCACAAAAACTAGAAAACCTACGGAAAGAATAGAGGAGAAAAGATGAAAAACTCATAAATAAGGATGAAAAAGATGACATGACGGTAATGATGATGGAAGAACATAGAGGAGACAACATAAGCAACAGATAAATGCCAGCAAAGGTACGAGGAGGGAGAAAATTGAGTAGGGACAACAAAAGGAAATGATGAGTTCTAACTGTGAAAAGTGAAAAACCATCACATGATGGATAGAGTTTTAAAATTCTGATAAACTTTTTAAAATGATTTTTTCAAAAACCGCCTTTTTCATATAATTACAAAAATGCCACCATTATGGTTTAACAGCATTTTGCCTGATGACTATCATAAATTAGCATCATGAAAGCTTTTTTTTTATAGTAGTGTTTTACACAATTTTATGAGTATTGATTGTTGTTAATTATTGACCTGATTGGAACTTCTCCATTCATAAGCTATGATTTGACTTATTATTTGAGTTAGAACAGGATAACTTCTAGTTGTGTAAGTTATAGGACTTAAGTTACTCTCTTCTGCTCTTCCTCCTGTTGTTATTATAAGAAACAATTACAAAAATTATGCGATTCAAAATATTAATTAAATATAGTTAACAGTAATAAATGTATAAGATATATATATAATTTTTTTATGATACTTCTTTGATTCTATTTATAAGACACTTCTAGCATGTTTTATATAGACCAAGAAATACTTTAAACTTTATTAACTCTCATTTAAAATTTAATAACTTTCTAACTTTATCTCTATTTAATACACATTATATCTCATGTAAACAAAGTCAACATAATAATAAATGAGGGATAAAATTGTACATCCATATAAAAAATTTCTCTCAATGTCTTATAAATAGGACCAAAAAATATATTTTCTCTTTACCCTATAAATAGGACCAAAGGAGTATCTTTACTCGTATAGAGAGCACATGAGACATAATGAATGAAAATTTCTTGTAGAGAAATAAGAAGTGGCATATATTTAATGGGAATAAAAGTAAAAACACTAGTTTAAACTTGTAGACAAAGAAGATTTGTTTCTAACATTTAGGGACACCAAAGAGATATTTTTTCTTTTTATAAAGAGAAACATATGGAGTATTTTTTCTATAAGAGTACAATAATCGAATTATGTGATTTGAAAAATAGTTAAAATATATTAAAAGTGATAAATATGTGAGAAATACACTTTTCTTTCAAGTGTGTTCTCATTTATACTCCTCTGGAAGAAGAAAATTTTTAATCCTATTTATAGAGCAGAGAGAGAAAAATTTTATATAGATGTATAATTTTATCTTTTATTTATTATTATGTTGACTCTGTTTTCATGGGGTATAATGTATATTACATAGGGATAAAATTAGAATGTTGTTAAATTTTAAATTAGAGTTAATAAAGTTTAAGATTTTTCTTGATTTGTATGAAATATGTTAAAAATAATTTATAAATAGGATTAGAGTATTAAAAAGCAAGTAAGGAAAAGAAATAAAGTAGTAATGAGAGAAATAAAAAAAATGAACGTGATATGGCAAGTTGTCAACTTTTTTTTTTAATTAATGCAATGTATAAAATTAATTAGGGATAAACATGATGAAAATACATTAAATATTTAAAAAAATTTAATTACAATCTTATAAAAAGCATCAAGACAGTTCAAATTTTAAATTCTTAGAACACAAGGAGAATCAAAGTAGGACTAATTCTTTAAAAAAGAAGAAGATATAACTCGAGTTGCATAAAAAAAAAAAGAAGAAAGACAAGTTATGAAAAAATTCTAAATAGCATATAGTTAGACTCATTTGAGTTGCAGTTGGCAAAAAACAAAAAAAAGACTAACTTGAGTTGCAAGAAAATAAATGCCAATTTATAATTTCCTGAAGTTTCAAGTTAATACTCTAAGTATAAACTAATGATAACACTTTTATTCTCATTTAATAAAAAATGGGAACGTTGTAAATTTAAATAGCAACCCTGCAATTAAATGTTAACAAATCATGCTGTAACTTTCAATTCTTTAGTAAAATCATTTTTATATTTTAAAATTTAGGCATTTAAATAATTAAATATTTGATTAAATGTAAAAAAGAAAATATTAAAAATTTAAGCACCTATCGAAATGATTATATTAAAAAAATTTAGAGTATGCTTTTCAACATTTAATCATAGAGGTACCATTTAAATTTTTTTGCCACACATAGATATCCTTCTATTGGAGGTAATTTTATATGTGGTATTGTTAGGCATTAAATATGGACACCTCTTCTAATAAAGATTTGAAACTTAGTTTATCACATTGTGAGGGGCTTTTTTTTTTTTTGTTATTCCATTAAAATTTTTAAGTCTGACATTTTCAATTAAATGAAACTAACAATATTAAGATTGAGATTTTTTAAAATCTAAGGGAGTAACTTGAAACTTGATATAAACTTAGAAGACCAAGCATAAATTTCAATCCAATTTTAAGAGTGTGTTTGGCTTAAAAAAAGGAGAGAATGGGAGGGATTTTAATGGAAGAAAAAAGAAGAGAGGAGAAGATAGAAATTTTAACATTATCTTATTTAGATTGATGAGAAGAGAGAGGAGGAGAGGGATTTTTTATGATATAATATAATTGATAAGAATTTTTTTTTGCCATTAATAATTGATAAGAATTTAACAATTATCATCCCTTACACAGATGATACAAGATCAGAAGAGTAATATAAAAATATTAAAAACTAATTATAAGCATATTAGTTAAAATAAGCTAAAATGTCATCCTTTCCTTCCAAATTTCTCTAATTAGATGAGGGAGAGTTATGAGGGGAAAGGAGAAAAAAAATCTTAAAAAATCTTTTTTCTTCTCCTAAAAATTTTAGCAACCTGAGTAAGAAGAGGGAAGCAAAATCCCTCCTACTCCTCTTCTCCCCTCATACCAAACAAGCCTCTAAATTTCTCCTAATTTAGTCCTCAATTAAATATAAAGATTGGCACAATTTTAACTATTTTTATTATAATTTAATAATTTTATTAAAAACATATCTTGAAAACATCTTCTAATTCTTCCCCCAAAAAAAACGAGGGCCAGTCACCTCATAAAAGCATCATACCATGAAAACTGAGTTTTATGTATAAAAAAATGGTAGATTCGGAGGGCTTTCTTTTTTTACCTGGATATATAAAAGGCCGAAAATTACCTTACAAACATAAACTGGGGTGGGGAGCAACGTATGATTCCTTCGGAGCGCGTCATGTGTGGCTTTCTTGAGTTACACATTTTTCTATGCAAAAAGCAGACATTGACAAGTTTTTCTAGCCACAATAAATAATAAATAAATCCACAAAAACCAAAGTGCCCTTGGCCTCAATAAAAAGTTAAACTCTTTTTCCCTCCCACCCTTTATATACACACATAATTTTCCAAACCCCCGTCTAATCACATTCACATCACCATCACCGTCTTCTTCTTCTTCATCTCTCTCTCTCTCTCTGCCATGTTCATACCACTTCTGCTTCAGAAACTGACCTTTCTGGGTCTGCTATATGCATCTTTCCTTATCTCTTCTTCTTCTTCTTCTTTTTCAATGAATGATGATAATCTGATAGATTCATCGAAGCTGGAGATGTTTGTGGATGAGGTTCCTGATATGCCCAGAATCCATGGCTACAAGCTTGTTCATGGAGTCCCCAAACCCAAATCTTTACATATTGGCATGTTCCGCAAGAACTGGGTACGCCTACCTTCATCTCCTTCCCCCTTCTTTTCATCAAATTCTTACTGTTATTATAATTGAAATATATATATATGCCTTTGTTGTTTTTGCTTTGTGTCCTTCGATAAAGCCTAGAATAACACAGACAATTACATGGGTACATTGAAACTAGTGTTCGAGGTTGAAGATGATATGTTATTGGACGGTTCTTGATTGTTTTATGTGGGTACTTAAAACAAGCAGTACTAAGTGAGTGCTTTGTGTGGCTGTGAATGGCAAGATCTGAAAGCACCATATAGTATCTTTTTTTTTTTTTTGACCAGAAAAAGCACCATATAGTATCAACTCCTTGTTAATTAGTATTTAAGCAATATGACTTGAAAATTAACCTACGAATCTGGTGCATTTAATTATATTGTCGTATTATATTAATGGAGAGAGAGGTAACAACTTAATTTATTTTGATTTATTTACTGATTTTCCCATGCCTTGGAGATGTTTCGAACCATGCCATTCTTATTCTCAAGGTGAAAAAGCAACGGTTTGTATCTTTATATAATGAATTTGGATTGGAATCTGCTTCTCTTTTGTCCACTTCCTTCATAAATATCTTATAATCTTTTTTTTTTTTTTTTTTTTTTAAAAGATGACCCATTGCTTAGAACGTCTATAAAATATATTTCTTTTTTTTGGTTTTGATATTTTGAACAGTGAGACTAAGATTTAAATTTAAAAATAAAACATTTTTTTTTGGCGTCACTCTTCCATGAGAATTATCACATCAACAGCCTACGAAAGTAGCCTACCAAAATATTTCTTCCGTGTACATATTTTATTCAGCGGATTAAAACATAATTAGATAGGTAGGTAAATAATAGCAATTAAATTGATTCTAACTATATATATCTATATATTATATTACTATAAAGAATAAAAAAGATACATCAAAGAATACTTCAGAAAGGGAACAGAAGTGGGAAAAGTATATATAATCATTTATTTATTTACTTTCTAATTGTCTTTGGTTGGTGCCAGTGTGGACACTAGAAAGTGGAAAGTTGCTCGATAATAATCCTAAGTGTGATGGAAACAGCTAGCTTTGGCTCAGCCTTTTGAGAAGTAGTTCTAGAATGTTGTGGACCAATAAAAACTCTTTTTTTTTAATTAAAAAAATTCCCTCTTTTTTCTTCCAATTTTTTAAAAATTATATTATTCAAATTTCGTGGCTTCAAATTTTCAAATGCGAGTTTATTTGTTAACACCGATTAAAACCATGTCAGTGGAAAGAAAGCTTCAGAATTTGAATAAATACCAAAAGAATTTGTTCCCACACAAGTTCCCTCCAATTTTTCTGTAAGAATTCTTTTGAAATACCTTTTTATCACTGAGTATAAGTTGTATCATATTTTTTTCATGGCCACATCTTTTTTATTTTACCCTTAACCATTTGAAAGTTGTAGAAAGTATTAATTACAATTTACAAATAAGTTTTTTTCAAAAAAAAATTGAGTGGAGGACAAAAATGGAACTTTCACTGACTCTTATACCTTATTTATTGAATGAGTACCATTTGTTTGAAAAATTCTTTTTTAAACCCAAATGGATCAAGAGAGAAAATGACCCACAATAATATATATATTTCAATTTAATTGCTATATATATGGCAGACATATTCTTCCTTAAGCAGTGTTTGTTTCGGTGGTGCAGAAATTTCATAGGGATTTGCCTCCAACGCCTGTTTTTGCTTACGGCGTGGACGAGCGTACTGCAACAGTTCCTGGTCCAACAATCGAGGCCATACATGGCGTTGACGCCTTTGTGACGTGGAAAAATCACCTCCCTTCAAAACACATACTCCCGTGGGACCCAACTATTCCTACAGCCATACCCCACTCAAAGATGGGCATTCCTACGGTCGTTCATCTCCACGGTGGGATCCACGGGCCCCACAGTGATGGCAATGCAAACGCATGGTTCACCAATGGATTCAACGAAACAGGACCCACTTGGACTCGAAAGAGCTACCACTATCCCAACTACCAACATCCTGGAAATTTATGGTATCATGACCATGCTATGGGGTTGACTCGAGTCAACCTCCTTGCTGGTTTATTTGGGGCCTACATTATCCGTCACCCTCCGATTGAGGCCCCACTTAGACTACCTTCTGGTAATGTCTGTGATCGACCGTTGGTAATCTTCGATCGGAGCTTCCGCACTGATGGGTCCATATACATGAATTCTACCGGAAACAACCCCACCATACACCCTCAGTGGCAGCCTGAGTACTTTGGTGATGCTATTATCGTGAACGGCAAAGCCTGGCCTCGCATGACAGTACAACGTTGTAAATACAGATTCCGAATAATCAACGCCAGTAATGCTAGATTCTTTAGATTCTTCTTTACGAACGGCTTGGAATTCACCCACGTGGCATCAGATTCAGCATACATTGAAGAGCCAGTAACAACTAAGGAGTTTCTGTTGGGGCCATCTGAGATCACAGATATAATTGTTGACTTTTCTCAATCAAAGAATGAGACTGTCATCTTAGCCAACAATGCAGCCTATCCCTACCCATCTGGTGATCCAGTGATGAATCTAACAGCAAGGTGATGAAATTCTTCTTACAGCCCAATCGAGATGCTGACACGTCACGAGTTCCCAAAAAGTTGATAAAATACCCCCAAGTGGATTTATCCAGTGTGTCGCGCACACGGTACATCGCAATGTATGAGTACACTAGTGACGCGGACGAGCCTACTCACTTGTTTCTGAATGCAAAACCATATGAGGCCCCAGCTACAGAAATTCCCAAGGTGGGGTCAACGGAGGTGTGGTATGTGATCAATCTGACGGAGGATAATCATCCGCTGCACATTCATTTGGGACTGTTCAAAGTGCTGGATCAGACGGAGCTGGTGAAATCGGAAAAGTTCAAGGCTTGTATGGAGAAAGAAAATGACGCCAAGAAGTGCCACGTGGACATGTATGCACGTGGCAAGAAAATAGAGGTTCCGGCACATGAGAGGGGGTGGAAGAACGTTTACAAGATGATGCCCGGGTTTGTGACGAAAATTGCTGTGAGGTTTGGTTACATACACACAAATGCATCATATGTCTTCGATGCAACCGATGAACCCGGCTACGTTTATCATTGCCACGTAAGTATCTAAAGTACTTTTTCGATCCTTAATATAAGACCTATTTATCCAATTTGATTAGATTAAGGAAGTTAGATAAGTTAGTTAATTATAAAAATGTGACACGTTTTTTCTAAAATACTATAATCATCTTCTTAATATTCCATCTTCTTCTTCTACTTGATTATAGTTGAGGGAGTATCTATAGGATAATTTAAAAAAAATTAATAAATAAGAGAAATGGATCTTATATTTAGGACCAAAACTAACTTAATAATTGGATCATATATTAAGGACCGGAAGAGTATATACTATTATGATAAAGTAGCATTCAATATCTTAATGTTATTTCTTATGCATCAAGTACCATAATTTTTTTGGCAAAAAAAGGAGGATCATAATTTTATTTATGATACATCCAACCAGGACTCTAATGTTATTTTTTAATTATATCTAGTATAATTCTGATTTTATTTATAATTTAGGGTGTTGTAAATACCAGGAAAATAAAATCAAGATTCGAAATGCACAATAAATAACATTAGACTGTTACTTTTTGTGCATTATTATTTTAATCTTTTCATCAATTATGAATTGGTATTAATCAAAGTCAGCTCTAATAAGTAATAATTATTAATATGCTGTTAAATCACAATTATATACAGATATTGGACCACGAGGACAATGCGATGATGAGGCCCTTGAAATTGATAAAGTGAGATTTATGACTCTGAACAAATGCAAGTGGGGAGAATAATCTGGTAATTTCCATTTCTGTAATATATAATCTATGTCCATATTGATTTCTTGTAATAATATATATTTCTTATTTTATTTCTTTATGGTGCAGGAACATCAAATGATTTTCGCTTTTGATCAGGAAATTAAATAATTAGAATATGTAATACATGAAGAAGGGAATAGCTACGTCGTAGGTTTTTGTAGAAGGTGCTTTGAGAGCTTCTGGAGTGTTCACAAAGTATTTTATGTAGTTCATAGTCAACAAGGACGGAAAAAAAAAAAAAATCGCCTTGTAAGTTTGAATAAATTAATAAAAGTATGGATAGTTGGTTATTAGGGTGCCTTAATATTTGTAATAATTACATCGATTCAGTGTTAATTTGTCTCTTCATGAATGGATATAATGCGAGTGGCTTGGTTCATTGGATGTGGCGATTCGTAATTAGGTCTCACTTTGTTGTTCATCATAATGATTTTTTTTTTAAAATTAAAGACTGAAATTCTTACAAAATAGCACCAGTACAAGGCGAGTCTTAGTTTCCTCTCTCAACCTCCCCTTCCACAATGTGGGTGGTTGATTTAGGATATAAAAGTTGTGCTCCATAGAATGGGAGAATTTAGCTAGATAATCAGCTGTAGGGATAGACTCCCTACCACTATAAATTGGTACAACCTTCCAATCCCTATGCATTATAAGTCTAACATCATTAACAATATCTTTGAAAGGGTACGTTTGCTCACATCCCCTACGAAGCACAGACAAGGCTTCTAAACAGTCCGTATATAACATAATATTCCGGTAGCCTTTATCCCAACATATGTATAGACCGTGGAAGATGCCCAGTAGTTCTGCAATCGCTGGTGGTACCAAAGTAAGCTTGCAACTGAATCCCACTAGCCATTGGTCATGACTGTTCCGAACCGCACCTCCACATCCAGTTCTGCCATCTTGCAATACTGAACCATCTACTTCTAATTTAACAAAATCGTCACAGCTTTGAGGTATGAAGTCTTTCTTAGGGCGGAGACTGGAATAGAATCTACAGCTCACCATCAGGTCTTTATCCCAACAGGCTCTGAAGAAACTATCATTTGCATTTGAATAGGCTCCACCTTCATGAGAATCAAAAAGCTTACCGGGAGACCCATATATCCCAACATATGTAGCCAAATAGGGTAGCCCAATGGATTTTCTTCGTGTAAGGACAACCTGCGTCTGTAGAAAGATTCCATGTGACCCATTCTGGGCCTTCCAAGGAGGTGAATGTAGGCCATAAATGTGGGTCAACTACTGATTTCCATCTTTGGGAGGCATTGGCACAATTCCTTAGTGAGTGCATAGAGTCTTCTTCTTCTTCGTACCCAAATGGGCATGTTGTTGTCACTGCAATTCCTCTTTTACGCCTTAAGGCCGCCATGTGTGCTCTGCCATGAGCAAGAAGCCACATGAATGATCGAATTTCTTTGGCACTTGCCATCTCCATAGTAGCTTCCAAATGCTATCTTCCTGTCTCTATGTACCTGCAAGGAGGAAATTGTATGCAGATTTAACATTAAAGCGATCATCAGTGGATGGCCACCAATAGTATTTATCCTCTCTTCTGTCCTCATGGGGTGGGTGTGCGCAAGTGATATGATTCACAACATGGTAAGGAAACTAATCGCGTAACTTCTGTATATTCCACTCTCCTATAGATGTCACACAGTCTACCACTCTTTCATTCTTATCTACCCAACCTTCATGCCCTGGTACCAGCTCAATGGGGGGTCTATTAACCTCTAACCAATTCTCAAACCAGAAGGAAGTAGACATACCATTACCAATTTTCTTGGCCAATCCACTTTTGAAAGTTTCCCTAACCTCACAAACACTCTTCCATGTCAGGGATTGGTTGGCTATTTTGTTCACAACAGGATTCTGCATGCCACCACAATTGTATTTGCTTGTTAAAACCTTAACCCAGAGTGCTTCCCTGTCATGCATCAAGTTTCAACAAAGTTTCATTATAAAAGCCTCATTTTGTTTCCTAAGGTTCTTGATCCCCAAGCATCCTGCTTTCTTGTCCTGAATCACCTGTACCCAAGCCAGAAGGTGGAGTTTTCTAGTTTCTTCTTTTTCATCCCAGAGAAATTTCCCACTAGTCTTCTCTAAATCCTTGATAAGTTGTTTCGGAATCAACATTGTCTACATGTAATAGGATGTAAGGGCAGATAACATTGCCTTAATAAGTATGGCTCTGCCAGCCAAGTTCAAGTAGTTTCTTTTCCATCCTGATAGTTTCCTGTGCACCTTTTCCAAGATTGGGGCAAAGAGGACATAGGAGGGTTTCCTATGTATGAGAGGAATTCCTAAGTATTTCCCTAGGTCACCAGTTAGGCCAACACCCATCTGACTCAACTCAAGAGCTCTGGAAATATGGACATTCTTTGAGAAACACACTTTTGTTTTAGTTTTGTTCATCGTTTGTCCCGCATAGTGACAAAACCTCTTGATACATTGATTCATCACATCTACCTGATAGGCTGAAGCTTCCCCAAAAAGTACCAAATCATCAGCAAAGAACAGATGGGAAAGAGGGGCTCCATTCAAATTAATTTGGATTAGGGTCCACTGACCATCTTCCACAACATCAGTAATTATATGACTCAGTTTTTCTATACACAAAGTGAAAATGTACGGGGATATCGGGTCACCCTATCTAACTCCTCTAGATGAGTCGAAACTCTCAGTAACTTCCCCATTCCACAAGACCTGAAACATTGGGTTTGAGATACACTCCATAATCACATTTTCGAGATTCTCTTCAATTCCTGCCTCTCAAGGTATCATATATGAAATTCTACTCTGGATGATCATAGGCTTTCTCCAAGTCAACTTTCACTGCTAACCAGCCTCTAGGACCCTTCTTGGTCTTCATAGAGTGGATAACTTCCTAGGCAATGATTATGTTATTGCTGCTCCGTCTCCTTGTAATAAAACCACATTGATGTCTGCCCACTAGCTTATTCATGATCCCCTTGAGTCTTCTACTGATAATTTTTGTCACAATTTTATAGTTGACATTGAATAGGGAAATTGGTTTGAAATCTCGAATGGTTTCTAGTCTATCTGACTTGGGAATCAGGACTAGATTGGTGTTGTTAATAGAGTTCACCCTTCTAGGTTCCTTGAAAACGTCCTTTATCATCTGAAAAATATCTTTTCCAATTACATTCCAGTATTCCTGGTAAAAGTAAGCTTGAATGCCACCCAGTCTTGGTGCTTTGAAAGCTCCTAGATCAAAAACCGCTTGTTTGATCTTGTCATCATCTAGATTTGCTGCTAAAGCACCTTGCTCATCAATACTTAACTTTGGGAACCTTTTTGTTGTCACTAATTGGCCTTGGGATTGTGGGTCTCTCCTGAAAAGGTCCTTGTAACAATTCAAAGCTAACTCTTTCAGAGCATTTTGATCAAACACCCATTCTTCCTGAGGATTCTTCAAGCCTTCTATTATGTTCTTCTTTCCACATATAATAGTGGAGGCATAGAAGAATTTATTGTTTTTATCGCCCCATTTCAACCAGTTACATCTAGACTTTTGGCACCAGATCAACTCTTCTTGAGCTAACACTTTATTATATTCTTTCCAAAGGTCTTTCTCAACTTTTGCCAAGTGTTGGTTGTCTCTAGAACTTCTAGCTCTTTCTACACCTTCAATTCTTTTCATAATTTTGTTTTTCTTATAGGGGATGTTTCCAACTTTCATTTTATTCCAGTGCTCTACTTCCTTATTGAAATTTCTCACCTTTTCCTCCCATCTTCCATTGTTCTAGCTTTTCTTCACCACATCTATAAAGTCTTCTTCTAAGACCCAAGCTGCCTGACATCTAAAAGGGGGTTTGACTCTCCTGCTTGTAGAAGACATATTACTCTTGAGCAACAGAGGGCGGTGATCTGAACCAAACTTTTTGAGATGATGAACCTTGGTAAAAGGGTATAGATTGAACCAAGCAGGATTGGCAAAGGCCCAATCAATTCTCCCTTTTAGTAGATTCCTCTCCCAGGTATATTTGTCCCCAACACAATCAACCCCAATCAAATTCGATCCATTTATAAGTCTGTAAAATGTTTCATGGAATGAACATTTGGGGCCCCTCCCCCAAGTTTATCATTTGCAGACATATAAGCATTAAAGTCTCCAATAATTGCTAAGGCCCCCGAGATGTCATTACTAAGCTGTAACAAGTCATCCCACAAGGTCTTCCGTAATAAGCAATTGGGTTCCCCATAAACACAAGTAAGCCACCAGGACTGGTTCTTCTCCTTTAAATTCACAAAAACATGCAACAGTTGGGTTGTTGAGAAAGTGTATTAAATTGAGCAAACTTCCTCATTCCAAAGTAGCCAAATTCCACCTGCATAGCCTATACTCTTTAACCTTATTTGGTTATTAAAGCTGAGTTTACACATAATGTGATCAGCTTTGCAACCACTAACTCGAGTCTCACACAGAACCAGAATATCAATATTATGCTTCTAACCATATCTCTAACTCTTCCAGGGAAAGTCTTAGAGGCAGCACCCCTGCAGTTCCAGGATATAATATTTATGGAGCAAATATAGAGAAGAAAGAGCAGTACTTACAACCGTTGAAGCTCCTGCTCCATTGCTTCCTCATGTCCTGCCAATTCCTCCACCATGTTATCTCTGGTTTCAAACTAGAAATCATTGTTCTCGCCCTCTTCATTGTTCAAAGGCACCTCTTTCCCTCGATCTGACAGGTCAGGGGGTTTTTTATAAGTTGAAACCAATTTCTCCTCTAGCTCCTGGTACCTTTGTTCAAGTTGACGAGAATGTGCTTCTGATGGACTATCTTTTCCTTCCTGTAGCAAGCTTTCATGCCCTTCTCTATGCCCAACGTTTTCCTCAAATTGAGCATTTAAGTTCGTTAGTATTTTGGTGGACATAGAGCCAAATACTAGATTATGGGCTCGTGCAGAATGCTTTTTTTCCAAGGATGGGAGAAATAATTTTGGGCCTAGAGACTTGACTTCTTTTCATGCCTACCAAAGCTACTCTCTCACTCTCTTCCTTTCTATCCGCATTTGGGCTTTTTTTTGGTTGGGCCCATTAGATTTTCCACTATTCCCCTGCTTAGTTGTTTTCTCTTTATCAATATTCTTCTTGCCTCTAGATTTCCTGTCGTCATTCATTGTATCCTTCTCCTGTCCCATTTTGCTCGTTGCGCTGAACTCAAACACACTCCTGCCTTTCTCCTTCTCTCCACGCTCTTGTTAAAGTGTTCTGAGTTGACAGCTTTCCTTTGCCACATTTTCTGAGTTTCCCTTCCCTTGCTAGGATAATTTGTCTAAGATGAAGTATCTGCCTTGGAAGACTTCTTCAATACACCATATCAGCCAAGCAAGGTACCTTTTTCTTCTTTACCTGATGACTTTATTCCCCCTC